CCCCCTTCCCTCCTTCTTCTAGTTCTATTAGAACGAGGAGAAGAGGGAAATCTACTTCTATTGGTTAATGAATCTAATCTGTTGGAATGTTAGGGTACTTTCTCATCCCAAATCCCTTAGTAGAGTCCTAGCCCTCAACAGGATGTATAAACCTTGGATCATTGCTCTACTTGAACCAATGGTCACTAAAAATGTCAACAGACTTGTGAGAAAATTCCCTGGTTTCTAGCTTCTTACAAATACTAACAACAAAATTTGGATTCTGTGCAGAAAGGAAATCCTTTGCACTATTCTTAAAGAAGGAGATCAATTCATCCATCTACAACTCAATTTCAGTCACTATCAGGGTTTTGCTACCTTCATTTATGCTGGCTGTACAACTACTGCAAGACTGGACCTATGGCAACAATTACTAGAGCTCAGTTCCTCTATTAAGGATTTCTGGTTAGTTGGGGGTGATTTCAACAGCCTCTCTTCTCTTTGTGAGAATAAGGGAGGGAGATCTTCGGATATTAGTCGAACTAACACATTCAATGATAACATTCAGTCTGCTGGTCTCTTTGATTTGGGGTTCAAAGGTCCTAAATTTACTTGGAGAAGGGGGAAGTTCTGAGAGAGGCTTGACAGATTTCTGGTAAATGACTTATGGTTTAGAGAGTTCCTCCATACTTCTGTCCAACATCTGCTATGAGTGGGTCTGATCATAGGCCCTTTCTTATTCAAATATCTTCATCCTCTACTAAACCTAAAGCCAATTTTACATATCTGAACATGTGGTCTATGCATGGGGATTTTATTAATCAAGTGGCTGAGGCCTTGACTGAAGTCCATCATCACATTCCTGGTATCAAGCTTTGGTTGTTACAGAAAAAACTCAGCAAACATCTCACAAATTGAAACTTGAAAGAGGTGGGGAACATTGATAAGAAAGTTTTTGAAGCTGAACAAAAAGTTTTACAGTTAGAACAACTATTGGTTACTGACATGGGGTCTGATATGGATCTCCAGTTAGCCAATGAAAACTTATTGGAACTGATCAACATGCAAGAGGCTCTCTATGCTCAAAAGGCAAACAAAACCAGGTTCTGTGAGGGTGACAGGAACTCCAAATACTACCATGCTTGCATTAACTATAGGAGGAAAAGCAATACAATTCATAAAATCCTTTCTCAGGAGGAGCACTGGATTACCAATGCTGAGGGAATTGCTAATGATGCTGTACATTATTTCCAAAAATTGTTCAGGAGTAACTCAACTGTTAACTCTACCATCAATGCAACACTGTTTGACAAAGAAAGAGAATTTAACAATAGTCTATCGCTTACTAACATCCCTGATGAAAAGGAAATTTGGGAAGCTCTTAAATCCATAGACAGCATAAAGGTGGCTGGCCCTGATGGTTTCTCTGCTGACTTCTACAAAAAGGCTTGGCAACAAAGAAAGGGAATTTACCAATAGTCTATCCCTTACTAACATCCCTGATGAAAAGGAAATTTGGGAAGCTCTTAAATCCATAGACAGCACAAAGGTGGCTGGCGCTGATGGTTTCTCTGCTGACTTCTACAAAAAGGCTTGGCATGTTGTGAAGGGTGAGGTTATTGCCACTGTCCAAAGCTTTTTCTGGGGGGCTGACCTCCCCAAATATTTCTCCTCATCAACCATTACTTTAGTGCCTAAAGAAAAAACTCCTTTCAAATGGGAGGATTAAAGACCCATTAGTCTCACTTCTGTCACCTCAAAGATAATCAATAAAGTCTTGGTCCAAAGATTAGAATCCAGCCCCACCTAAACAAGCTCATCAGTAGGAATCAGTCTGCCTTCATCAGGGATAGAAACATTGTGGATAATGTGCTCTTGGCCCAAGAATTGGTGCTGGACTTGGACAGAGTCACTAGAGGAGGCAATCTAATTTTCAAATTAGATATCAAAAAAGCTTATGATACTATAAGTTGGAGTTTCATTGAACAGGTTTTAATTTCTAGAGGTTTCTCGTCCTCCTTTGTCTCTCTTATCAGCAGGTGGCTGTCAAATAATTTCCATTCAATACTCATCAATGGATCCACTCATGGGTTTTTCAGTGCTTCTAGAGGCATAAAACAAGGTGACCCTCTTTCCCCTACCATCTTTATTCTAGCTTTTGACTACTTATCAAGAATTTTGAATGAGTTGGCATCCAGGAAACCCCATTCTCTTTATAGTCACAAATCTTCCTTATTAATCAATCATCTGGCCTTTGCTGATGACATCATAATCTTCACAAAAGCTTCCAAATGTGCTGTCAAATTATTATTGCAGAATCTGGAGACCTTTCAGGATGTTTCTGGAATGAAATTCAATAAACAGAAGTACCTCTCCATCTACAGTAAGCAGTGCATTAATGAGTTTAAATCCTGGGTTGTTGATTTCACTGGTTTAAAAAACGTGGTTTCAAAAATAGTCACCTTCCTATGAAATATCTGGGGGCTGTTCTTATCAAAGGAAGAACTAAGAATATTCAATTTGATCACATAATTGACAAGGTACAAAGTAAATTGCATGCTTGGGAGAATTCCTTTTTATCCAATGGGGGTAGAATTACACTTCTCAAAAGTGTTCTTTCTGCCTTGCCATTCTATTTACTGCAATTGAACATTCTTAAAAAATCCTCTCAAAGACTGTTAGAAGGTATCTTTAATAGATTCCTATGGGCTGGTCATAAGAAGCAAAAACACTGGACCTCTTGGGCTAAGGTGTGTAAACCTGCTGAGGAGGGTGGATTAAGATTCAAGTCTTTCTCCCAAATTATGCACACCAATTTATGCAAGCTCTGGCTCAGATTTAGATCTCAGTCATCCTTATGGGCTGAATTCCTATGGGGCAAATATTGCAGACATCATCACCCCACCCAACTCTCAGTGGGTGTGGGGGATTCTCCAATCTGGAAAAGGATGTTAAAAGTTAGACAAGATACTGAACAATTGTTTGTCTGGGAAGTTGGTAGGGCTTGGTTAACATCTGGTGGGATAATTGGTCCTTGGATGGTTGCCTTATTCAGGACCAGATTGCCCCAGCTGCCCCTGTGCTTGTGAAAGACATCTGGG